CCCACTGGGCGGGCCCTAAGCCTCTGGCTGGCCCACTGGGCGGGCCCTAAGCCTCTGGCTGGCCCACTGGGCGGGCCCTAAGCCTCTGGCTGGCCCACTGGGCGGGCCCTAAGCCTCTGGCTGGCCCACAGGGCGGGCCCTAAGCCTCTGGCTGGCCCACTGGGCGGGCCCTAAGCCTCTGGCTGGCCCACTGGGCGGGTCCTAAGCCTCTGGCTGGCCCACTGGGCGGGCCCTAAGCCTCTGGCTGGCCCACTGGGCGGGCCCTAAGCCTCTGGCTGGCCCACTGGGCGGGCCCTAATCCTCTGGCTGGCCCACTGGGCGGGCCCTAAGCCTCTGGCTGGCCCACTGGGCGAACCCTAAGCCTCTGGCTGGCCCACTGAGCGGGCCCTAATCCTCTGGCTGGCCCACTGGGCGGGCCCTAAGCCTCTGGTTGGCCCACTGGGCGGGCCCTAAGCCTCTGACTGGCCCACTGGGCGGGCCCTAAGCCTCTGGCTGGCCCACTGGGCGGGCCCTAAGCCTCTGGCTGGCCCACTGGGCGGGCCCTAAGCCTCTGGCTGGCCCACTGGGCGGGCCCTAAGCCTCTGGCTGGCCCACTGGGCGGGCCCTAAGCCTCTGGCTGGCCCACTGGGCGGGCCCTAAGCCTCTGGCTGGCCCACTGGGCGGGCCCTAAGCCTCTGGCTGGCCCACTGGGCGGGCCCTAAGCCTCTGGCTGGCCCACTGGGCGGGCCCTAAGCCTCTGGCTGGCCCACTGGGCGGGCCCTAAGCCTCTGGCTGGCCCACTGGGCGGGCCCTAAGCCTCTGGCTGGCCCACTGGGCGGGCCCTAAGCCTCTGGCTGGCCCACTGGGCGGGCCCTAAGCCTCTGGCTGGCCCACTGGGCGGGCCCTAAGCCTCTGGCTGGCCCACTGGGCGGGCCCTAAGCCTCTGGCTGGCCCACTGGGCGGGCCCTAAGCCTCTGGCTGGCCCACTGGGCGGGCCCTAAGCCTCTGGCTGGCCCACTGGGCGGGCCCTAAGCCTCTGGCTGGCCCACTGGGCGGGCCCTAAGCCTCTGGCTGGCCCACTGGGCGGGCCCTAAGCCTCTGGCTGGCCCACTGGGCGGGCCCTAAGCCTCTGGCTGGCCCACTGGGCGGGCCCTAAGCCTCTGGCTGGCCCACTGGGCGGGCCCTAAGCCTCTGGCTGGCCCACTGGGCGGGCCCTAAGCCTCTGGCTGGCCCACTGGGCGGGCCCTAAGCCTCTGGCTGGCCCACTGGGCGGGCCCTAAGCCTCTGGCTGGCCCACTGGGCGGGCCCTAAGCCTCTGGCTGGCCCACTGGGCGGGCCCTAAGCCTCTGGCTGGCCCACTGGGCGGGCCCTAAGCCTCTGGCTGGCCCACTGGGCGGGCCCTAAGCCTCTGGCTGGCCCACTGGGCGGGCCCTAAGCCTTTGGCTGGCCCACTGGGCGGGCCCTAAGCCTCTGGCTGGCCCACTGGGCGGGCCCTAAGCCTTTGGCTGGCCCACTGGGCGGGCCCTAAGCCTCTGGCTGGCCCACTGGGCGGGCCCTAAGCCTTTGGCTGGCCCACTGGGCGGGCCCTAAGCCTCTGGCTGGCCCACTGGGCGGGCCCTAAGCCTCTGGCTGGCCCACTGGGCGGGCCCTAAGCCTCTGGCTGGCCCACTGGGCGGGCCCTAAGCCTCTGGCTGGCCCACTGGGCGGGCCCTAAGCCTCTGGCTGGCCCACTGGGCGGGCCCTAAGCCTCTGGCTGGCCCACTGGGCGGGCCCTAAGCCTCTGGCTGGCCCACTGGGCGGGCCCTAAGCCTCTGGCTGGCCCACTGGGCGGGCCCTAAGCCTCTGGCTGGCCCACTGGGCGGGCCCTAAGCCTCTGGCTGGCCCACTGGGCGGGCCCTAAGCCTCTGGCTGGCCCACTGGGCGGGCCCTAAGCCTCTGGCTGGCCCACTGGGCGGGCCCTAAGCCTCTGGCTGGCCCACTGGGCGGGCCCTAAGCCTCTGGCTGGCCCACTGGGCGGGCCCTAAGCCTCTGGCTGGCCCACTGGGCGGGCCCTAAGCCTCTGGCTGGCCCACTGGGCGGGCCCTAAGCCTCTGGCTGGCCCACAGGGCGGGCCCTAAGCCTCTGGCTGGCCCACTGGGCGGGCCCTAAGCCTCTGGCTGGCCCACTGGGCGGGCCCTAAGCCTCTGGCTGGCCCACTGGGCGGGCCCTAAGCCTCTGGCTGGCCCACTGGGCGGGCCCTAAGCCTCTGGCTGGCCCACTGGGCGGGCCCTAAGCCTCTGGCTGGCCCACTGGGCGGGCCCTAAGCCTCTGGCTGGCCCACTGGGCGGGCCCTAAGCCTCTGGCTGGCCCACTGGGCGGGCCCTAAGCCTCTGGCTGGCCCACTGGGCGGGCCCTAAGCCTCTGGCTGGCCCACTGGGCGGGCCCTAAGCCTCTGGCTGGCCCACTGGGCGGGCCCTAAGCCTCTGGCTGGCCCACTGGGCGGGCCCTAAGCCTCTGGCTGGCCCACTGGGCGGGCCCTAAGCCTCTGGCTGGCCCACTGGGCGGGCCCTAAGCCTCTGGCTGGCCCACTGGGCGGGCCCTAAGCCTCTGGCTGGCCCACTGGGCGGGCCCTAAGCCTCTGGCTGGCCCACTGGGCGGGCCCTAAGCCTCTGGCTGGCCCACTGGGCGGGCCCTAAGCCTCTGGCTGGCCCACTGGGCGGGCCCTAAGCCTCTGGCTGACCCACTGGGCGGGCCCTAAGCCTCTGGCTGGCCCACTGGGCGGGCCCTAAGCCTCTGGCTGGCCCACAGGGCGGGCCCTAAGCCTCTGGCTGGCCCACTGGGCGGGCCTTAAGCCTCTGGCTGGCCCACTGGGCGGGCCCTAAGCCTCTGGCTGGCCCACTGGGCGGGCCCTAAGCCTCTGGCTGGCCCACTGGGCGGGCCCTAAGCCTCTGGCTGGCCCACTGGGCGGGCTCTAATCCTCTGGCTGGCCCACTGGGCGAGCCCTAAGCCTCTGGCTGGCCCACTGGGCGAGCCCTAAGCCTCTGGCTGGCCCACTGGGCGGGCCCTAATCCTCTGGCTGGCCCACTGGGCGGGCCCTAAGCCTCTGGCTGGACCACTGGGCGGGCCCTAAGCCTCTGGCTGGCCCACTGGGCGGGCCCTAAGCCTCTGGCTGGACCACTGGGCGGGCCCTAATCCTCTGGCTGGACCACTGGGCGGGCCCTAATCCTCTGGCTGGCCCACTGGGCGGGCCCTAACTGTGCACTGTGTTAGATAATGTTCCAGTGGTCTGTTGTGGCTGTAACTGTGCACTGTGTTAGATAATGTTACAGTGGTGTGTCGGGCATTTCTCCAGAGTGGTGACATGTGGTCTTATCTTGAGGGACCTCCAGGGAGATGACCTGATCAACCAGGCTATTGGTGGTGGCACCTTCAAGCCCCGTGTATCACATGACACAGGCAGAGAGGCCTTGAGTAACTGCCCTGGAAGCCTCTTAAAGAAAGTTAGACCACTTAGTACAAACAAGCAGTTGGGTTGTTTGTGGGTCACTCCTTACTTATGTAAGTGCAGATATCATCTAAGGTACTACATACCACTACTTAAGTACTTCCATAGTAGTAGTTATCTTAAGGTTATCTTGAGATGATTTCGGGGCTTTAGTGTCCCAGCGGCCCGGTCCTCGACCAGGCCTCCACCCCCAGGAAGCAGCCCGTGACAGCTGACTAACACCCAGGTACCTATTTTACTGCTAGGTAACAGGGGCATAGAGTGAAAGAAACTCTGCCCATTGTTTCTCGCCGGCGCCCGGGATCGAACCCAGGACTACAGGATCACAAGTCCAGCGTGCTGTCCGCTCGGCCGACCGGCTCCCTAGTACGTACTATTTTGAAGAATTCTGTGCTCACCTAGTTGTGCTTGCGGGGGTTGAGCTCTGGCTCTTTGGTCCCGCCTCTCAACTGTCAGTCAACTGGTGTACAGGTTCCTGAGCCTATTGGGCTCTATCATATCTACATTATAAACTGTGTATGGAGTCAGCCTCCACCACATCACTGCCTAATACATTCCACCTGTCTGCTACTCCCACACTGAACAAGGTCTTTCTAACGTCCCTGTGGCTAAGTACAATTGTGACCACTGGGACATGTAACATATATGTAATAGGGGTAACCAAGACATAGACCAGAACACAACCTATAGCACTGTATCATCCTTTGCAGATGACACTAGGATCTTCATGAGAGTTGGCAACATAGAGGACACGGCAAACCTCCAGTCAGATGTAGATCAGGTCTTTCTATGGGCCACAGAAAATAATATGGTGTTTAACGAGGATAAGTTCCAGCTCATGCGCTATGGAAAAATTGAAAATATAAAAACGGAAACCCAGTACAAAACTCAGGCAAATCATAACATAGAACGAAAAGGCAATGTAAAGGATCTGGGTGTACTCATGTCGGAAGACCTTACCTTTAAAGAACACAATAAAGTAGCCGTCACAACTGCAAGAAAAATGACAGGTTGGATAACAAGAACTTTTCACACTAGAGATGCTATACCGATGATGATACTTTTCAAAACGCTTGTGCTCTCTAGAGTGGAGTACTGCTGCACAATGACAGCCCCTTTCAAAGATGGAGAAATTGCTGACCTGGAGAGCGTGCAGAGATCCTTTACTGCTAGAATCCACTCAGTAAAACATCTAAACTATTGGGACCGACTAAAGAGCCTAAAACTGTACTCCCTTGAGCGCAGGCGGGAGAGGTACATAATAATTTACACTTGGAAAATATTAGAGGTGCTGGTCCCAAACCTGCACACAGAAATAACACCACATGAGACCAGAAGACATGGCAGGATGTGCAGAATACCCCCGTTGAAGAGCAGAGGTGACACAGGTACTCTGAGAGAGAACTATCAACATCATAGACTATTCAACACACAACCAGGAAGCCTAGTCAGAGACCGGGCCGTTGACCCGTTGATCCTCGGAACAACAGGTGTTCAAGGCATATATTTTTCTTTCCATAATACATTATATAGGGACATGATTGTAGTTTATCAGGCCTATGCAACACAGCATAATGCCTCTCATCAACTGATTATTGACATTTTAAGTAGAGTAATGGTAAAGTTTACACTGATACGCTTCACAACACCCCGTATTAATGACCCCAATACTGCACTGGTTGGGTGCACAGGGAGGAGTGAGAGGTCACAGTACCGCTCCTCTGCCAGGTAAGTCCACTACGGGCTCACCATAGCCCGTGCTACTTGCCCCGCTCCTGTGCCAGGTAAGTCCACTACGGGCTCACCATAGCCCGTGCTACTTGCCCCGCTCCTGTGCCGGGTAAGTCCACCACGGGCTCACCATAGCCCGTGCTACTTGCACCGCTCCTGTGCCAGGTAAGTCCACTACGGGCTCACCATAGTCCGTGCTACTTGCCCCGCTCCTGTGCCAGGTAAGTCCACTACGGGCTCACCATAGTCCGTGCTACTTGCCCCGCTCCTGTGCCAGGTAAGTCCACTACGGGCTCACCATAGTCCGTGCTACTTGCCCCGCTCCTGTGCCAGGTTAGTCCACTACGGGCTCACCATAGCCCGTGCTACTTGCCCCGCTCCCGTGCCAGGTAAGTCCACTACGGGCTCACCATAGCCCGTGCTACTTGCCCCGCTCCTGTGCCGGGTAAGTCCACTACGGGCTCACCATAGCCCGTGCTACTTGCCCCGCTCCTGTGCCAGGTAAGTCCACTACGGGCTCACCATAGCCCGTGCCACTTGCCCCGCTCCTGTGCCAGGTAAGTCCACTACGGGCTCACCATAGCCCGTGCTACTTGCCCCGCTCCTGTGCCAGGTAAGTCCACTACGGGCTCACCATAGCCCGTGCTACTTGCCCCGCTCCTGTGCCAGGTAAGTCCACTACGGGCTCACCATAGCCCGTGCTACTTGCCCCGCTCCTGTGCCAGGTAAGTCCACTACGGGCTCACCATAGCCCGTGCTACTTGCACCGCTCCTGTGCCGGGTAAGTCCACCACGGGCTCACCATAGCCCGTGCTACTTGCCCCGCTCCTGTGCCAGGTAAGTCCACTACGGGCTCACCATAGCCCGTGCTACTTGCCCCGCTCCTGTGCCAGGTAAGTCCACTACGGGCTCACCATAGCCCGTGCTACTTGCCCCGCTCCTGTGCCAGGTAAGTCCACTACGGGCTCACCATAGTCCGTGCTACTTGGAACTTGTTGTTCCAAGTAGCGAGTCTTCAACAACAACAACAACATTCGACCAAGGGTTTAGCCACAGGTGTAGACATCTTGTCTGCATTTTGATCAGCTTCAAAAGCCGCATTTTTCAGGTAGTGAAGAAAAAAGTAGTGTAGAAAAGTAGAGAAAGAAAGAGTAGTAGAGAAGAGGGAAGTGAAGGAGTGGTGAGGGACAAGATCATCCAGCCCTTCACCTCCTGGTGTAGCTTCTGGGCCAAGGAAGGTGGTTATCAGGGGGAGAAGAGGGTAGTGAAGGAGTGGCGAGGACAAGATCATCCAGCCCTTCACCTCCTTGTGTAGCTTCTGGGCCAAGGAAGGTGGTTATCGGGGGAAGCGCCAAGCCATCATGACTATATAGCACTGGGAAGAGGTCAGGATAAGGATTGGGGATGGGACGGGTGGAAGGAATGGTGCCCAACCACTTGATGGGACGGGTGGAAGGAATGGTGCCCAACCACTTGATGGGACGGGTGGAAGGAATGGTGCCCAACCACTTGATGGGACGGGTGGAAGGAATGGTGCCCAACCACTTGATGGGACGGGTGGAAGGAATGGTGCCCAACCACTTGATGGGACGGGTGGAAGGAATGGTGCCCAACCACTTGATGGGACGGGTGGAAGGAATGGTGCCCAACCACTTGATGGGACGGGTGGAAGGAATGGTGCCCAACCACTTGATGGGACAGTCGAGGATTGAACGCCGACCCGCATGACGCCAGACACTTTGACCCTTCCGTCAAAGTGGCTGGGACTCCTAGTCAAAATAGATGGGAATTTGTAGTCTTAACACTCTATCAAACATTGTCAAGTCCAGCACAACCACTTGGGCTGGACGGTAGGGCGACGGTCTCGCTTCATGCGGGTCGGTGTTCAATCCCCGACCGTCCCATCAAGTGGTTGGGCACCATTCCTTCCCCCCGTCCCATCCCCAATCCTTATCCTGACCCCTTCCAAGTGCTATATAGTTGCGGTAGGTAGCCTGCGGGCCGCTCCCAGCAACAGCCTGGTGGACCAAACTCCCAGAACCCCATCAAGCAGGTACAGTGGTAAAGGCTTGACCCCCACGCCTGACAGCTCCTCCCCGTAAGTAGTGTGTCAACTGGCTGTCAACCTGAGCACTGCCGTCAACCTCCATTGTGCAAGAGGGTGAAGTGTGCAGCCTGAGCGTCCGTGCTGAGTGCTGGGAACATTGGTTACTACCATGACGAAACATTGAGAGGTTTGGTGTAACATGTTGAGAGCCGAGACGCCCAATATGGGTCGAGTACAGCAACACGCGCTCTCCCTCTCATCACTTCACGGCGTTCACAACATTGCTAAACATGGTTGGCTTTGTTCCTTCAATATCTCGCCCACTTCTTTATCTGTCACATCCTGGCGCTGAAGGCATTACCTTACCTTACCTTGAGGTTACCTTGAGGTGATTCCGGGGCTTAGTGACCCCGCGGCCCGGTCCTCAACCAGGCCTCCTGGTTGCTGGACTGGTTAACCAGGCTGTTGGACGCGGCTGCTCGCAGCCTGACGTATGAGTCACAGCCTGGTTGATCAGGTATCCTTTGGAGGTGTTTGTCAAGTTCTCTCTTGAACACTGTGAGGGGTCGGCCAGTTATGTCCCTTATGTGTAGTGGAAGCGTGTTGAACAGTCTCGGGCCTCTGATGTTGATAGTTCTCTCTTGAACACTGTGAGGGGTCGGCCAGTTATGCCCCTTATGTGTAGTGGAAGCGTGTTGAACAGTCTCGGGTCTCTGATGTTGATAGTTCTCTCTTGAACACTGTGAGGGGTCGGCCAGTTATGTCCCTTATGTGTAGTGGAAGCGTGTTGAACAGTCTCTCTCATGTGGTGTTATTTCTGTGTGCAGGTTTGGGACCAGCCCCTCTAATATTTTCCACGTGTAAATTATTATGTATCTCTCCCGCCTGCGCTCAAGGGAGTACAGATTTAGGCTCTTTAGTCGGTCCCAATAGTTTAGGTGTTTTACTGAGTGGATTCTAGCAGTAAAGGATCTCTGCACGCTCTCTAGGTCAGCAATTTCTCCAGCTTTGAAAGGGGCTGTCATTGTGCAGCAGTACTCCACTCTAGAGAGCACAAGCGTTTTGAAAAGTATCATCATCGGTATAGCATCTCTAGTGTGAAAAGTTCTTGTTATCCAACCTGTCATTTTTCTTGCAGTTATGACGGCTACTTTATTGTGTTCTTTAAAGGTAAGGTCTTCCGACATGAGTACACCCAGGTCCTTTACATTGCCTTTTCGTTCTATGTTATGATTTGCCTGAGTTTTGTACGTGGTTTCCGTTTTTATATTTTCAATTTTTCCATAGCGCATGAGCTGGAACTTATCTTCGTTAAACACCATATTATTTTCTGTAGCCCATAGAAAGACCTGATCTACATCTGACTGGAGGTTCGCCGTGTCCTCTATGTTGCCAACTCTCATGAAAATCCTAGTGTCATCTGCAAAGGATGATACAGAATCCTGGGGACTCTGGTAGTACTGGGGACCACTTGTGTCTACCTACAAGAGGGGGAGTACTGGGGACCAGTTGTGTCTACCTACAAGAGGGGGAGTACTGGGGACCAGTTGTGACCACCTACAAGAGGGGGAGTACTGGGGACCAGTTGTGACCACCTACAAGAGGGGGAGTACTGGGGACCAGTTGTGTCCACCTACAAGAGGGGGAGTACTGGGGACCAGTTGTGACCACCTACAAGAGGGGGAGTACTGGGGACCAGTTGTGACCACCTACAAGAGGGGGAGTACTGGGGACCAGTTGTGTCTACCTACAAGAGGGGGAGTACTGGGGACCAGTTGTGACCACCTACAAGAGGGGGAGTACTGGGGACCAGTTGTGACCACCTACAAGAGGGGGAGTACTGGGGACCAGTTGTGTCCACCTACAAGAGGGGGAGTACTGGGGACCAGTTGTGACCACCTACAAGAGGGGGAGTACTGGGGACCAGTTGTGACCACCTACAAGAGGGGGAGTACTGGGGACCAGTTGTGTCCACCTACAAGAGGGGGAGTACTGGGGACCAGTTGTGTCCACCTACAAGAGGGGGAGTACTGGGGACCAGTTGTGACCACCTACAAGAGGGGGAGTACTGGGGACCAGTTGTGACCACCTACAAGAGGGGGAGTACTGGGGACCAGTTGTGACCACCTACAAGAGGGGGAGTACTGGGGACCAGTTGTGTCCACCTACAAGAGGGGGAGTACTGGGGACCAGTTGTGACCACCTACAAGAGGGGGAGTACTGGGGACCAGTTGTGACCACCTACAAGAGGGGGAGTACTGGGGACCAGATGTGACCACCTACAAGAGGGGGAGTACTGGGAGGATGTAAACCTGTTCCTCAGTGGCTTCTCCCCGGAAGTAATTCGGCCATTAAGGGAACCCAACTGAAAGACCTCTTGTGCTTCTATTAAGGTCCTGAGTACTCTCTTCTTCCTCTTGAGTACTCTCACTTTCTCCTCAGTACTCTCTTAATGGTAGTACTAAAGTCTTGAATATATAAATCAAGATTACTCTCTCCTTACTCTTGAGAGAGAGAGAGAGAGAGAGAGAGAGAGAGAGAGAGAGAGAGAGAGAGAGAGAGAGAGAGAGAGAGAGAGAGAGAGAGAGAGAGAGAGAGAAAAAAAGAGAAAAGAGAGAAGAGAGAGAGAGAGAGCAGATATTATGAGAGGCATAACATTGAGAGTTGAGACAAAAAAATAAATGATGACCACCAATAACAACACCACAGAACACCACCAACACCACAGAACACCACCAACACCACAGAACAACACCAACACCACAGAACACCACCAACACCACAGAACAACACCAACACCACAGAACAACACCACAGAACAACCACCAACACCACAGAACAACCACCAACATCACAGAACAACACCAACACCACAGAACACCACCAACACCACAGAACAACCAACAACACCACAGAACAACCACCAACACCACAGAACAACCACCAACACCACAGAACACCACCAACACCACAGAACAACCACCAACACCACAGAACACCACCAACACCACAGAACAACACCAACACCACAGAACAACACCAACACCACAGAACAACCACCAACACCACAGAACAACCACCAACACCACAGAACACCACCAACACCACAGAACACCACCAACACTACAGAACAACCACCAACACCACAGAACACCACCAACACCACAGAACAACACCACAGAACAACCACCAACACCACAGAACAACACCAACACCACAGAACAACACCAACACCACAGAACAACCACCAACACCACAGAACAACACCAACACCACAGAACACCACCAACACCACAGAACAACACCAACACCACAGAACACCACCAACACCACAGAACAACCACCAACACCACAGAACAACCACCAACATCACAGAACAACACCAACACCACAGAACACCACCAACACCACAGAACAACCAACAACACCACAGAACAACCACCAACACCACAGAACAACCACCAACACCACAGAACACCACCAACACCACAGAACAACCACCAACACCACAGAACACCACCAACACCACAGAACAACACCAACACCACAGAACAACACCAACACCACAGAACAACCACCAACACCACAGAACAACCACCAACACCACAGAACACCACCAACACCACAGAACACCACCAACACTACAGAACAACCACCAACACCACAGAACACCACCAACACCACAGAACAACACCACAGAACAACCACCAACACCACAGAACAACACCAACACCACAGAACAACACCAACACCACAGAACAACCACCAACACCACAGAACAACACCAACACCACAGAACAACCACCAACACCACAGAACAACACCAACACCACAGAACACCACCAACACCACAGAACAACACCAACACCACAGAACAACACCAACACCACAGAACAACACCAACACCACAGAACAACCACCAACACCACAGAACAACCACCAACACCACAGAACACCACCAACACCACAGAACAACACCAACACCACAGAACAACCACCAACACCACAGAACAACACCACAGAACAACCACCAACACCACAGAACAACCACCAACACCACAGAACAACCACCAACACCACAGAACAACACCACAGAACAACCACCAACACCACAGAACAACCACCAACACCACAGAACACCACCAACACCACAGAACAACACCACAGAACAACCACCAACACCACAGAACAACACCAACACCACAGAACAACACCAACACCACAGAACAACCACCAACACCACAGAACAACCACCAACACCACAGAACACCACCAACACCACAGAACAACACCAACACCACAGAACAACACCAACACCACAGAACAACACCACAGAACAACCAACAACACCACAGAACAACCACCAACACCACAGAACACCACCAACACCACAGAACAACACCACAGAACAACCAACAACACCACAGAACACCACCAACACCACAGAACACCACCAACACCACAGAACAACCACCAACACCACAGAACAACCACCAACACCACAGAACACCACCAACACCACAGAACAACACCAACACCACAGAACACCACCAACACCACAGAACAACACCACAGAACAACCACCAACACCACAGAACACCACCAACACCACAGAACACCACCAACACCACAGAACACCACCAACACCACAGAACACCACCAACACCACAGAACAACCACCAACACCACAGAACAACCACACAACACCACAGAACACCACCAACAACAGAACACACAACACCACAGAACAACACCAACACCACAGAACAACCACCAACACCACAGAACAACCACAACACCACAGAACAACACCACAGAACAACACCAACACCACAGAACACCACCAACACCACAGAACAACACCACAGAACAACACCAACACCACAGAACACCACCAACACCACAGAACAACACCACAGAACAACACCAACACCACAGAACACCACCAACACCACAGAACAACACCACAGAACAACCACCAACACCACAGAACAACACCACAGAACAACACCAACACCACAGAACACCACCAACACCACAGAACAACACCACAGAACAACACCAACACCACAGAACACCACCAACACCACAGAACAACACCAACACCACAGAACACCACCAACACCACAGAACAACACCACAGAACACCACCAACACCACAGAACAACACCACAGAACAACCACCAACACCACAGAACAAGAGAACAAGGATCAAGGCTGAGAATGAGACGAGGCAGAGAGATGTGTTGACAGTTTCCCCTTACTGTGAGTTGTGGGAAAATGGAACAAATATAATAAGATTGTAAACACATAAAATAAGATTGTAAACACATAAAATAAGATTGTAAACACATAAAATAAGATTGTAAACACATAAAATAAGATTGTAAACACATAAAATAAGATTGTAAACATATATAATCAAATTATAAACACACATAATCAGATTGTAAACACATATAATCAGATTGTAAACACATATAATCAGATTGTAAACACATATAATCAGATTGTAAACACATATAATCAGATTGTAAACACATATAATCAGATTGTAAACACATATAATCAGATTATAAACACATATAATCAGATTGTAAACACACATAATCAGATTGTAAACACATATAATCAGATTGTAAACACATATAATCAGATTGTAAACACATATAATCAGATTATAAACACATATAATCAGATTGTAAACACATATAATCAGATTGTAAACACATATAATCAGATTGTAAACACATATAATCAGATTGTAAACACATATAATCAGATTGTAAACACATATAATCAGATTATAAACACATATAATCAGATTATAAACACATATAATCAGATTATAAACACATATAATCAGATTATAAACACATATAATCAGATTATAAACACGAATAATCAGATTGTAAACACATATAATCAGATTGTAGACACATATAATCAGATTATAAACACATATAATCAGATTATAAACACATATAATCAGATTGTAAACACATATAATCAGATTGTAAACACATATAATCAGATTGTAAACACATATAATCAGATTATAAACACATATAATCAGATTATAAACACATATAATCAGATTATAAACACATATAATCAGATTGTAAACACATATAATCAGATTATAAACACGAATAATCAGATTGTAAACACATATAATCAGATTATAAACACATATAATCAGATTGTAAACACATATAATCAGATTATAAACACATATAATCAGATTGTAAACACATATAATCAGATTGTAAACACATATAATCAGATTATAAACACATATAATCAGATTATAAACACATATAATCAGATTATAAACACATATAATCAGATTGTAAAAACATATAATCAGATTGTAAACACATATAATCAGATTATAAACACATATAATCAGATTATAAACACATATAATCAGATTATAAACACATATAATCAGATTATAAACACGAATAATCAGATTGTAAACACATATAATCAGATTATAAACACATATAATCAGATTATAAACACATATAATCAGATTATAAACACATATAATCAGATTATAAACACATATAATCAGATTATAAACACATATAATCAGATTATAAACACATATAATCAGATTATAAACACATATAATCAGATTATAAACACACATAATCAGATTATAAACACATATAATCAGATTGTAAACACATATAATCAGATTGTAAACACAAATAATTAGATTGTAAACACATATAATCAGATTATAAACACATATAATCAGATTGTAAACACATATAATCAGATTGTAAACACACATAATCAGATTATAAACACATAATCAGATTGTAAACACATATAATCAGATTGTAAACACACATAATCAGATTGTAAACACACATAATCAGATTATAAACACATATAATCAGATTGTAAACACATATAATCAGATTGTAAACACACATAATCAGATTATAAACACACATAATCAGATTATAAACACACATAATCAGATTATAAACACATAATCAGATTATAAACACACATAATCAGATTATAAACAGTCTCAGACTGCATAAGCAAATTCCATTCATATAAAAAATATTTAAAAAGTCTACAAAAAGGTTCATTTCATCGCACAACTGGTGGGTGGGGAGGCGGAGCCCACGAGCTAAAACTCGACTCTTGAGGCACAAATAGATGAGATCAACTCATCATTACAATTCCCACAAACAAAGAAATGACTCAACTCATAAAATAACGGAAATTCCCACAGAGAACAACAGCGCAAGAACACGAGAACAAAGACACGACAAACAGGGAACAAACACGATGGTGACAGGACAAACACAGAACAAACACACACACACGGCCTGCGTTAACAACAAAGCGTATAGAGAAGAGTGGGAACCTCCACACAAGAAAAAAAAGGCGAGGGGGGGCAGAGGGACAGGGGGCAGGGGGGGGCAGGGGGGGCAGAGGGACAGGGGGCAGGGGGGGGCAGGGGGGGCAGGGGGGGGCAGGGGGGGAAGGGGTGGGGGGGGGAGATGAAGGTCTTACTCGGCCAGATGTGAATTCCGGCCAATTGTGGCCGAGGGAAGTACGCAACACTGGTCCTCCACGGGCGTAACTCTACCGCCGGCGCCACACGCATGCGCGCACACACACACACACACACACACACACACGGACGCACGCATGCGCACACGCACCGCGGGTTCCAGAAGAGACAACATTAGCCAGGCGCGCGGTACGATGACTTCAGTTTGCTACACTGCCAGACGGCTGCTCGACCTGTCCTCCCACTTGACGTTTTCTATGCATGGCCAGCAAAACAGCCGCTAAAGGCAGCAAATTAATTACAATTATTACTTAACCTATACCGTTGATAGGTTAAGTAATAATTGTAAATAAGAAGCAATAAGATGCTTATCTTAACATACTAAGAAGGTTAGGTGAGGTCGGTGTTTTCTATGAAGCTTTTCAAGGTAAACTAAAATATTCAAAATCAATTAGTATGTCACATATGCACTTATTAAATAAGCCAATATTGACTATAAGCAAGTGCCAAAACGGGTTGCTTCAAGTCACTGGTGTTGTCCCGTCTCGAGTACTGCTCAGTACTCACTTCCCCCTTCAGAGCAGGAGAGATTGCTGAAATAGAGGGAATACAGAGAACATATACGGCACGCATAGACGAGATAAAACACCTAAATTATTGGGATCGTCTCAAAGCTCTCCAAATGTACTCTCTAGAAAGGAGACGAGAGAGATACCAAATAATATACACATAGAAAATACTGGAGGGCCAGGTCCCAAATCTACACAGTAAAATAACAATGTACTGGAGTGAACGATATGGAAGAAAATGCAGAATAGCACCAGTGAAGAGCAGAGGTGCCATAGGCACAATCAGAGAACACTGTATAAACATCAGAGGTCCAGTGAAGAGCAGGGGTGCCATAGACACAATCAGAGAACACTGTATAAACATCAGAGGTCCAGTGAAGAGCAGAGGTGCCATAGGCACAATCAGAGAACACTGTATAAACATCAGAGGTCCAGTGAAGAGCAGAGGTGCCATAGGCACAATCAGAGAACACTGTATAAACATCAGAGGTCCAGTGAAGAGCAGAGGTGCCATAGGCACAATCAGAGAACACTGTATAAACATCAGAGGTCCAGTGAAGAGCAGAGGTGCCATAGGCACAATCAGAGAACACTGTATAAACATCAGAGGTCCAGTGAAGAGCAGAGGTGCCATAGGCACAATCAGAGAACACTGTATAAACATCAGAGGTCCAGTGAAGAGCAGAGGTGCCATAGGCACAATCAGAGAACACTGTATAAACATCAGAGGTCCAGTGAAGAGCAGAGGTGCCATAGGCACAATCAGAGAACACTGTATAAACATCAGAGGTCCAGTGAAGAGCAGAGGTGCCATTGGCACAATCAGAGAACACTGTATAAACATCAGAGGTCCGCGGTTGTTCAACGTCCTCCCAGCGAGCATAAGAAATATTGCCGGAACAACCGTGGACATCTTCAAGAGGAAACTGGATTGTTTCCTCCAAGGAGTGCCGGACCAACCGGGCTGTGGTGGGTATGTGGGCCTGCGGGCCGCTCCAAGCAACAGCCTGGTGGACCAAACTCCCAGAACCCCATCAAGCAGGTATATGTGGGCCTGCGGGCCGCTCCAAGCAACAGCCTGGTGGACCAAACTCCCAGAACCCCATCAAGCAGGTATATGTGGGCCTGCGGGCCGCTCCAAGCAACAGCCTGGTGGACCAAACTCCCAGAACCCCATCAAGCAGGTATATGTGGGCCTGCGGGCCGCTCCAAGCAACAGCCTGGTGGACCAAACTCTCACAAGTCAAGCCTGGCCTCGGGCCGGGCTTGGGCAGTAGAAGAACTCCCAGAACCCCATCAACCAGGTATATGTGGGCCTGCGGGCCGCTCCAAGCAACAGCCTGGTGGACCAAACTCTCACAAGTCAAGCCTGGCCTCGGGCCGGGCTTGGGCAGTAGAAGAACTCCCAGAACCCCATCAACCAGGTATATGTGGGCCTGCGGGTCGCTCCCAGCAACAGCCTGGTGGACCAAGCACCCAGAACCCCATCAAGCAAGGTGAGGGAGGGGAAGATGCGAGGGGTGAGAGAGGGCAAGAGGAGAGGGGTGACGACTGAGGGAGTAGCGAGTAAATCGGGCCTTGACCCGTTCTCAAGTCTGGGATTTGGTTAGGTAGTGAGGGAGAGAGGGAGAGAGGGAGAGAGAGAGAGGAGGTAGAGAGACTGACTTTGGTTACTAAGCCTCGCGTCGCTGGAAGACAGAAGAGTTAGGAGGGGACATGATCACCACATCAAGATTCTGTAAGGAATTAATAGGGTAGATAAAGACAGTTTAACACAAGGGACACACGCACTAGGGGACATACATAGAAACTGAGAACCCAAATGAGGCATAGAGAAATTAGAAAGACCTTGTTCAGTGTGGGAGTAGTTAACAGGTGGAATGCATTAGGCAGTGATGTGGTGGAGGCCGACTCCATACACAGTTTATAATGTAGATATGATAGAGCCCAATAGGCTCAGGAACCTGTACACCAGTTGATTGACGGTTGAGCAGCCCATCCTACAAGCAAAAACAGAAAATCCATTCCATGCACCCGCCAAACCCCCAGCTGTTTATGAATGAAAACCGGTTTACACACGACTCACAACTGCTGACGTTCGAACACTTCCGGAACAAGTGCTTCACTGACGACTGGTGTTCGAACCACAACGCTGTTAATGCTTCACCCACGTACTACAAATACAAATAATCGCCAACAGAACCTAAACACCTAACCTAACCTATGCCTATATATGCTCAATATGCTAATATATTATAATATTAATTTATATTTTAGAAAATTCCTGTTTTGAAAAAACAGACTTAAAATCTATGAATGCGTCTGTGGGGTCGACCGCTGGATGGCATGGACTTGTGTCGAGGACGGGTTGAGTTGAGAGGCGGGGCCAATGAGCCAAAGCTCAACCCCCGCAAGCACAACTAGGTGAGTACACTCCGATTCTGGCAAAAATCATAACATCCTTCAGAAACTTGAATAATAAGGCTTTTAGATCACTGTATACCACCTATGTGAGACCAGTCTTAGAGTATGCAGCACCTGCCTGGAGCCCCATCTTAAAACACATAAGGAAGCGCGAAAAGGTACAGAAGTCTGCACCGAGACTGGTCCCAGAGCTGCGAGGGACGAGATACAAAGACAGACTGAAGGAACTAACCACTGACCACGTTATAAAGGAGGAGGGAGAGAGGGGAGACATGATAGAGACATATATAATATTTGAGGGAACGACAAGGAGGACAGAGAGGAAATGTTTACAGTGACTAACACTAGCACAAGGAGCCACGGATGGAAGCTTGACACTCAGATGTGTCATAGAGATGTTAGAAAGGTTTCCTTTAGCGTAATGATAGTAAATGGTTGACCTAAAGGAGCAGGTTGTAGAGAGCCAAGAGGTTGTAGAGGCCAAGAGGTTGTAGAGAGCCAAGAGGTTGTAGAGGCCAAGAGGTTGTAGAGGCCAAGAGTTGTAGAGAGCCAAGAGGTTGTAGAGAGCCAAGAGGTTGTAGAGAGCCAAGAGGTTGTAGAGAGCCAAGAGGTTGTAGAGGCCAAGAGGTTGTAGAGAGCCAAGAGGTTGTAGAGGCCAAGAGGTTGTAGAGGCCAAGAGGTTGTAGAGAGCCAAGAGGTTGTAGAGGCCAAGAGATTGTAGAGGCCAAGAGGTTGTAGAGAGCCAAGAGGTTGTACAGAGCCAAGAGGTTGTAGAGAGCCAAGAGGTTGTACAGAGCCAAGAGGTTGTAGAGAGCCAAGAGGTTGTAGTGAACCAAGAGGTTGTAGAGAGCCAAGAGCTTGTAGAGAGCCAAGAGGTTGTAGAGGCCAAGAGGTTGTAGAGAGCCAAGAGGTTGTAGAGAGCCAAGAGGTTGTAGAGGCCAAGAGGTTGTAGAGAGCCAAGAGGTTGTAGAGAGCCAAGAGGTTGTAGAGAGCCAAGAGGTTGTAGAGAGCCAAGAGGTTGTAGAGGCCAAGAGGTTGTAGAGCGCCAAGAGGTTGTAGAGAGCCAAGAGGTTGTAGAGAGCCAAGAGGTTGTAGAGAGCCAAGAGGTTGTAGAGAGCCAAGAGGTTGTAGAGAGCCAAGAGGTTGTAGAGAGCCAAGAGGTTGTAGAGGCCAAGAGGTTGTAGAGAG